TCCACCTGTGTCTCAGCAGCCTAGCGCTATGGGGAATCTCTCGGTATGCTGGCAGCAGATTCCTCCCAAGGAATGCGCTCTGAGTCTGGGGTGGGGCTGTGGGTGGTGAACACGGACACGGGTGCATGCCCTCTGGGCCGGGGCGAGATGGGAGAGGACACAAAGGCAGCAAGCGACGGCCCAGGCAGGACTATCAAAGTGCCAGATTTCTGAAGAGTAGTTTGCACGGCTGAGCTGCTAAATCAAGAATGAGCTCTGCTGGCCTCGTGTGTCCAAGGTAACATCCACCTGGAAGGCTTTAGGGATTTGGTTTGAGGCATACCTTGCCCACGGCAGGTGAGCGGGGCTCATCTGTGCAATGAAGGCATTTGCATGTAGCCCAGGACCTGGGCACATCTGCTTCTCATCCCATTACCTTCCTCCCTGTCTTTGCCTCTATCTTCCTGGTGTCGTTCTCTAGCCCCTCATCCAGGAGCCTCCTTAAATTCTTCTACAATTTTACTCCTTTCCCTACGTGCATTTTTTTTTTCCCTTCCAAGGCAATAGAAAACACGCAAGGCTCAAGACCTTCGCTCCAAGGCAAGACGTTTTTTCCCCCTGTCCTTCCAACTGCTCTATTTGAAGAAAAAAAAAAATTTGACTCTCTGTTTAGATCAATTCATTACAGTGAGCTCACAGTGCCTCAAAAAATGGGAGTGTCTGGGGATGATGTGACAGTTCATTGCCTGGGAACCTAGGAAGAGAATTCACGAGATCCGCCAGCAAAGGGGTCCTGCTCTTGAAGTTGATGTGGTCTGTGAGCACAAAACCGGCCTCTTTGGGTTTGCCATTAATTTCTAAGAGGGGGAAAAGTGGAACAAAGTGTTCTCTTGATTCCTCTGGAAAGAAGCAGAGGAGCCTAAAGACAAAGGACCCTACTAATGGTTGTAGGGTCACCTCCTGACACTTTTTCCTTTTTCCTGGTAACATCTGCTAAGGTTCCTCTGCCTGAAACCCTGAGCATGACCCCCACCCCCACCCTAAATTCCTCCATCCCCCCCATCCCTGTACCGCGGGAGGACCCAGGGCATCCCTGGCTGTACCACCTACACCTACAACACCCTAATAGCTTCCTGCCCCATCAGCTAAGTAGCCATTTCATAAAAGATCAAAAAAAAAAAAAAAAAAAAAGCCAGAGTTTCTTGCTTGGAGATGCTCATCTCCAGGACACTAATGAATCAACTCTAGGCGAGGAGGAGGAAGGTATGAATGGTTTGAATGGGAGACAGCTCATTGGGGCCGTTTCCTGGGAGAAGATGGACAGCCCCTCATGGAACAAACAGCCCCAGGAAGCACCACAAAAAGCGCTCACGAAGCATTAAACTCGGTGCATGCCTGTGGTTTCTCAATTGAGTCTCAGCACCGGGAAGGTGACTGGGGGAAGGTGAGGTCGAGATCCGGGTGGGAAATGGGGCTCTGGCTGGCAAAGGTGGGCCCCCCCACGCCCAGGGGCTCCCCAGATGCAGAGCACGGCTCGGCTTCTGGTCCCTTTGGTCTCCTCTGGCCATCTCCTCCTCCTCCCTGGGGTCCAGCTGATGTGACTCTGCTCATATGGTCAAATCACCAGAGAGCAGAGAGTCTCCCCTACGGACACTGGCTTCTCCTACAGAAACAGGATGGCAACGTCTAATCACTTCTGGAAAAGACTAAATCTGCTCTTCCCTGCGGGGGCCAGAGCAGCAAAAGGAAGCCCAGCTCTAAGGAATGTGTGCCATGGGCAGGCGCAGGGCTGACCAGCCTGGGGACATAGGCAGAGGCAGATGGCTGATCTCAGGGCAGCAGCCTCCTTCCTCTTCACCCCTGCCAACCCTCCCACAAACATCCCCTTCAATGAAGCATCTCTCCTCCCTCGGCCCCGGCCTCTGCCTGCCCAACTACCATCTCCAGAGAGAGGATCACACGTTGGAGAAAAAAAAAAAATCCTTCACCTTTTCAGAAAGGAAACGTCTCTGCTGAACTATTTCAAGGCACATGGAACCTAACGCACGTCCCACTTCCTCCGTGACCCCTGGAGAGGGTCCATCCTTTCTTTTCCCCACTCTCCTCCTGGGGAAAACTCATTAGGTAGGACTATTTATCTCTTCTCTTTTCCCTACTCGGGTTCCCAATGGGACCATCTGCACCAAACACTGCCTAGAATGGCAAGCTGTGTGACCTCTGAGGTGGGAGCCAAGTAAGACCAGTGGTGGTAACACACCCAGGAGTTGGGGAGCAGCCTGGGAGGGGAAAAGTCAGGATGGGACGCTGTTGTGCCTGAGTCATCCAAAGCTGGATGAGGAGGTGCCTTCCCCTGCCCCAAGGTCACTCGTGGAGTGTCCTCGAGGGACGGCGGCTCATGCTCTGTCCCCTTCCCCCAAAGAGAGTCAGGCGTTGTCCCCTACCTAACAAGCACCAGCATGACGGTTTCCAAAGCACTGAGCAGGCAATGCTACAGCTGTTGGAAGAGAAGCTGTGAACTGAATAAAATCAGGAGGTGAATTTGAGGGAGAAACATCCCATATTTACATCCTGGCCTAAAGCTGAACTCATCCCCCATCCATGGATTGCTTCCTTCCCCGGCCCCGAGGAGAAACTGCTCCAAAAGCCAACACCAGTCACTGAGCCACACACCTGTACACAAAGGAGTCACCCTAGTTTGGATTTGGGGGAGGGGTCACGGTGATACAGAGGGGGCAAAAACACTCAGAGGGACCATGACATCTCCAGGGTCAAGAGCCAGTAGAACAGAGGCCAGGGACAGCATCCAAAGCCCATCAGTATCCTGCCAGGTGATGAGGAATACATTTGGTAGGTGGTGGCAAGGTCAGGGCAGGGGGGGTGGGGGCTGCGGGGGCTCAGTCTAAGAAGACAAAGGCTCAGAGAAGAAAGAAGCCAAGAGAAAGGTTTGTGGGAATCAACCAGCAGGAGGTCACATAGTGGCCAGAGTTGGGGGTAGGGGGAGGAATGGGAGACCAGGAGAAAGCGAAGAGGAACAAGGCTCTGGGCCTGGAGGTAGGCAGAGGAGGGATAAGGACCAGGTACATCTGCTTCAGGAAGGTGCTTTCCCCACTGGCTATTCCTTCTCTGCTTTGCAAGGTGAGCCAAGAGGGAGAACCCTTCACCAGACCAGACCCAAAGGAGACACGGGGCTGAGCGCACACCATTTGTCACAATTCCTCCATCAGTGCCCAGGACCAGCCAGGCACAGAATCTCACTTATCCTTCAGGATAAGATGGGGTGGGATAGGGCCCAGTGGTACCTTGGGGTAGTGGGTGAGATTATTTTTTTTAAAGATTGTATTTTTTCATGAGAGGCACAGAGAGAGAGGCAGAGACAAAGGCAGAGGAAGAGAAGCAGGCTCCCTGCGGGGAGCCCGATAGGGGTGGGGGCAATCCCAGAACCCCGGGATCACGGCAGTGAGCTGAAGGCAGATGCTCAACCCCTGAGCCCAGCCAGGTACCCAGCAGGTGTGGATTATAAACGGGTCTGCTTTTGGAAGCACCCAGTTCTGACCCTCAAATATGTATGTCAATACTGAAATACCCACACATCGTGTGCTTGACTCAGTAAGACCTGCCAGGGAGTATTCATCTTTTCTCAAAATCTTCAAAGGACGAAAAAAAAAAATCATGCCCAGAAATTTCTATCTGCCTTTTTCTCTCTTCATCAAGGTACGGCTGATTAATGTCCAACGGCAGCAAGGGGAAGAAGGCTTTCGGGCGGAAAGGATAATAAGCTGAGTGTAGAGACGAGCTTATGGTATATAGTTCAGGGTAGGAGGGGCCTGCTTGGCTCACTCAGAAGCAGGACTGGACTGGGGAAAGGGGTGGGGGGGGGGGTCCTGGTCACCAGGGCAGTGCCCAAACCATGTGCCAAAAATGGACACATGTCCCGGGGCAGGGTTTGTTCCCTGAAAGACTCTGCTGAACCAAGTCCAGCCATCCATCATCATGAGGGGACTGGAAGCAGAGCTAACTTTGCCTCCCCTGGGTGCATCGTTTGCTGACTTGTGAGGAGAGGCCGGTTTCCTCTTCTTGGGGCTCTGGCTTCCCTCCGGACTCACTGGGAGCCGGGGTGGTGGGCTGGGAGGCAGGCAGGGTGGGGCCGGGCACTACCATATCTTGAGCTCTCCGCATTAAGTTTTGGGAGGAGGCTGCCCCCACCGCCCCCCAAACGTGAGCAGGGAAAAGGCTGCCCACCCGGCTTAACACAGCAAGAATGTTAACTCAGAGGAGAGTTCTGCCTACAGGGTTTTAAAGAACAAGTCCTCCAGTCTCGGCAGGAAAATAAGCAGCCCACTCGGGCAGGAGGCAGTGAGGAGACACCATCTGCCCTTGGTCAACACGGAATGGATAAATCTCCACCCCTTCTTACCCGGGAGGCATCCCTTCTGCATCACCCCCGGTTCCACACCGAGAACCTCCAGCTTATGCTAAATCACTTGGTACTCCCTCCTGTAGGCTTCCAACATTGTGCAATATCCCACACCCGAGAAGATGTGCTGCTTAGACTCAAAACACCAAAGGCGACGAGGAGCGTACCCCAGAGTGCCCACTTTGTCCTGAAAGCCAAACCCGGGGCCCCCACCCCTACCCCCTGATCCAGGCTTACAGGGTTTGTAAAATTCTTAGACTCAAACTTCATGGACTCCACCGCTCCTCACTTTGCCCGGTAATCCCCCCCGGCCCGTACCACCAAAGCATGCGTTCTGGACTCTGAAGAAATGGTGAAAAGAAGCAAGCCGGGATTTAGCTGCCAGTCAAGGGAGCAAGGGAGCAACTGGTCCTAGAGGGAGAGTCAGAGCGAGGTGGTGGTACCCAGGGTGGAGAAGACAGGGGGCCGCGCGCGTTAAGAGAGGCGCGGTGGCGGGAGGCCGGGGCCGGGGCCGGGCACCGGGACGGGGCACCGGGACCGGGCACCGGGACCGGGCACGCGCTCCCGGCGGCCGCCCGCACCCCCGCTCGCGCGCTCGCCCTCTCACCTGTGAATGTTCATTTCCCGCGGAGGGCGGTGGGCCTTGTCATAGGAGACCTTGGCGAAGACGCCGGCCACGATGACGAAGGCGATCACCCCGCAGGTGATGTAGACGGTGAAGTTGGTCTTGTCCTTCTCCGGGTCGTACTTGTTCTCGGGCCCCGGCGACACCACCTTGGTGCTGGGCGTCTGCACCCACACCGGGCTCTGGTAGTTGGTGCACTGGCGCTGGTCCAGCTTCTCGTGGCGCTTCTTGCAGCAGAAGCGGTAGTAGCAGGTGCCGCAGCAGTACAGGTAGCCGCTCTCGCTGTTGTTGCACTCGAACTCCTTGTCGTACTGGCCGCTCACGTCGTAGTAGCCCCAGCACGTCTCGTAGGTGACGGCCGCGCTGGCCGCCGCCACCGCCCCCGCCGCCGCCCCCGCCGCCGCCGCCCCCGCGGGCTGCCCCCGCCGGCCCCCCGCGTCCGCGCCGCCGGGCGCCCGGGCGGTGCCGTTGAGCTCGCGGCCGCCCCGGGCCAGGGCGCCCCCGGGCCGCCGGCCCCCGACGGCAGCGGCGCCCGCGCTCAGGGTCCGGTTGGCGGCGCGGCCGCGGGCGGCGCGGGCGCCGGGCAGCAGGTGCAGGGACTCCAGCGAGAGCAGCAGCAGCAGCAGCAGGAGGAGGCGCCGCAGCGCCATGGCGGGGCCGGCCGGGCGGGCGGGCGGGCGGGCTTCCGCGGCAGGCCGAGCTCGAAGGCGGCGGGCGGGCGGGCGGGCGGTCAGCGGCGCCGGGGCGATGGCGCCATCGAGGCGCGGGCTGCTCGGGCTGCTCGGGCGCTCACGCTGCGCGGCCGCTCCGCGCTCCCCCTGCGGGCTCGGCGCGCCTCCCGGGCAGCCCCATCCCCCGCCGGCGGCGGCGCGGCTCAGGCGGGACCCGAAGCGCGGCTCCGGGCGGCGGCGGCGGCGGCGGCGTGGTCCCGTCCGGGCGGGTCCTGCGGGACGAGACCGGGAGCCGGTCACGGGGCGGGGCGGGGCGGGGCGGGGGCGCGCAGCCCTCGAGGAGCCCGGCCCGGCCGGAGGGGCCCGGCGGCCCGGCAGCGCGCTCCCGCTGTGGGCTGGCTCCGGGACGGAGCGGGGGGCGCGGGGGTGCGGGGGGCGCGGGGGGCGCGGGGGGCGCGGGGGGCGCGGGGGCCGGCCCTCACTCACTCACTCACCATGCCCGGCTGCGACTGCAGAGGCGGCGGCGGCGGCGGCGGCGGGAGGGAGGGCGGAGCGCAGCGGCCGGGGCGAGCGGGCGAGCGGGCGGGCGGGCGGGCGGGCCGGGAGCCGGGAGCCGGGAGCCGCCGGCCGGCCGCCTGCACTAGTGCCGGGGCGCGTGCGGGAGGGAGCGAGGGAGACACACGCACTCACACCGGCACACGCGGGAGCGCCGCGCGGGGAGGGAGGCGGCGAGGCGCGGCGAGGCGAGGCGCGGGAGGGGAGGGAGGGAGGGAGGGCGGGAGGGGAGGGCGGGCAGCCGCTCGCCGCCGCCCACGTTACACGCCCGGGCGCCCGGGGGAGGAGAGGGGGCCCCTCTTCGCTGCTCCCCCCTCGCGGCGGCACTTGGAGCTCCGCGTCACCGGAACGGCGAGCCCGCGGCCGAGGGGAGCGGGTGCCGGAGGGTCCCCTCTGGAGCCGGCCCGCGCGGCGGGGCCCCGCCTCCGCTGCCTTTGCCCCGTGCGGGCCGCGGCCAGGGTCCCACCTGCCCCGAAGCCCGGGCGCTGCGCTGCCGGAGCGGGACTCCGGGGATCTGCGAGCCTTTGCCTCTCCCTAGTGGCGGCGCGCGCAGCGGAGGGAAGAAGGCCAAACCCATTGCTACAGGTTCCTAAACTGAGACCAGGGGTCAAGGGGCTGGTCCGAGGTCCTGGGGCTGCCGGCGAGCTGGGCCTGTGCTCTCTTCCCCGCGGGCACTCTCCTCTGCCCCTCGCCCCACCCCCGCCAAACGCACTCCCGCGGGCACAAGACAACCCCAGGGCTTGGGCGGGTGGCACCTTTGATTGCTTCTTTCCGGAGCTTTTTCCGGAGCACTGGGTTAGAAAAGCTGCCCGAGCCCCTAAGCTTTGAAATTCCTGTGCTGTAGGGGAAGGCGGGGGGGGGGGGGGGGGGGGGGGGAGAACGGAGGTGTTCCTGTGCGCTTGCTCATCTGATCCATGGAAAGGAGAGTCCGGGGTCTAACTCTAAGCCTTGAGGCCACCCCAAGAGGGAGTCCTAATCATCACCTTGGCACGTGTCCATGGAGGAGATGGGGAAAATGAGAACGGAAAGCAGGGGCCCCTGACAAAATTCTGCCCGTGTGTCCTGGCCTTCTGTTGCAAGTGCCAATATGCTCTGTTTGAAGGCAGGGGCAGTTGTCAGAGTGTGGGCAGTAGATACTGTCCCGAGGTTGTCCATTAAGTCTCACTCCTGCCGGGTCCAAGCCCCGGATTCCCCAGTGCCAGAAAGGCAGAGAGGCTCTGCTTGGAACTCATGGACCCCAGATGCCAAGACACTAGAGGCAGATCCTGGGATGCCTTCCCTCCCTCTTCCTCGGCACTTCCTCCCATTCTCTCAGCCGCACCTCACCTGCCACTCTCAGTGCTTCTGTCAAATAAACAGGTGTGGAGAGCCTACACTCCACCAGGCACTGTGGCAAGTGGCGGGTAAAAGATGAGTAAGCCAGTTCCCCTTCATCGAGGAGTGAAGTTTGCAGAGCGCTCCGAAGGCATAAACAAATGTTTTCCAAGTCCATGGCCATGTCCCATGTAAAGATGGGCTCCGAGAGCACAGGTGAGCACAGAATGCTCCGAGAGCACAGGTGTCAGGCTCCTCACCTAGCCTGGGAAGGGACAAGGTCAAAGGCAGCTTTCTGGGAGAGTTAGTGAGCAGAACCGTGAATGCATAATTAAGAATTAATCCAGCAAACAAAGGGGAAGGCCACTCACAGCAGAGACAAAACCGGAAAGACGGGGAGTCCTGGGGGTACGGGGGAGGGGGTGTGAGCAGAGGTTCAGCAATTGAGCATAGATTCCCAGGGAGTCTTCCAAAGAAAGCTGGCAGAAGGGCATTGTATCTCCTGCCAAAGAACTTGAATTGATTCTACAGTTGATGGAGAGCTCTTGGTGGGTTCCACTCAAGGGGAAGCCACGGTCAGATTTACACATTCGCTGGATCTCTGGGTCAACAGGAGTAAGGAATATTGCATGGGTGAAGAGCAATCTGAAAGCTCTTCTGATGATCCAGGTAAAATCGGACAAAAGGCTCAAGTAGATTTTTGGTAGTCGGTGCCCGTTAGCGGAGATGGCTAGCATGGTCAGAAGAGCTGGTTCATCACGGCACTGGCAGTGGACGTGCTGAAGTGCCTTTAAGAGCCGTAAGTAGAGTTGTTCAGCACAAGAGCTTCAAGCTCAGGAGAGCAGATAAGAAAAGCATATGCGTTTGGGAATCCTAACGTAGGCGTATCCTTTTGGAAATCATAAAAACATATTCTTGGCCTTTATACCATGTGCAATCTTTTTAAAAAGATCTTATTTATTTATTTGAGAGAGGGCGAGAGTGTGCACTTGAGCAGAGGGAGAGGGAGAGAATCGGAAGCAGACTCTCCACGGAGTACAGAGCCAGACACAGGGCTCAATCTCGTGACCCTGAGATCCTAACCAGAGCTGAAATCAAGAGTCAGATGCTTTACCCACTGAGCCACCTGGGTGCCCCACTACGGGTAATGAATTCGTTTCCTTCCTTTTCTCTTCCCTGAGCTTTCACCTCCCCTTCTTTATTCTAAAATTGCCGATTCCTCATCTGGCAGCTTCTAGCAATAAGTAGAAGCATGTCTTCCTCGTGTGGGACTCTAACAAGACTTGATCAAAAAAAAAAAAAAAAAAAAAGACTTGATCAGTGGCACTGAGTAAGGGAAATTGCTTTGGTTCCTTAGATCACCCCCACAAACAAATGTGTTCTGAACCCATGTGCTCACAGATGGTAGCGTCAGCAAACCCACAGAAAATAATAGTATCTCAGAGTTAGACAGGATCTTCAAGTTTATTCATTCCAACCCTTACTGCAGTGCATTATATGCATATTTTTCTTAGGTTTTACTTATTTATTCTTTAGTGATCTCTATACCCAACCTGGGTCTCATACTCACTACACCAAGATCAAGAGTTCGGCTGAGCCAGATTTATTTTTTATATTATAAGAAATATAATGTAGAGATGTATTATATTTCTTATAGACATTTCTAGCCTTCCTGGTTTGCCCTTTCGTAGTTGACCACGTTGGTTGCAACCAACCAATATCCATTTGCCTACCAGCATCTATTTTTCTCCTTTCTCCTGGTTTCACTACCTGAAGTGTTGACAGTATGAAAGTGTCCTTTCTGTGCGTTGAACTCATTAAAAAATGCTAGAGAAGAGTTATCTTTTTCAACACCTACACCAACTTTAAATAGCCGGTCCCTAGGCTCAAGAAAAAGCAACCCAATCTCTTGGGGCTCTAGAGTGTAAATCCCAATTGGGCTAAGCCGAGACCCTGGGAATCCCATTCCCCTGGGGCCCATGATTGGTTAAGAATGAACAAGTGATCCATTTCTGGCCAATAGAATGTGAGGAAAGTATTGGGAAAGTCTGGGGAAATTTTCCTTGCTCTTAAAAATTGTGGTAATTCCTCTACTTTGAGTGTTGTTTTTGTGACTGTCCTGACCTCCCAGGGAGGTGTCGGGTGGGGAGTGGGGGAACCAGTTCTTAGTATCGAAGCTGGTATTGACTCTGAGAGTCATTAGTGCTGCTCGATGCATCTCTCTGCCTTCCAGGCACATAGTAGAATGGCAATTCCTGGCCCATTTGTGAGTAGGAAGACCGACAAATCGTGGGCAGAAATGATGTATGTGATTTCTGAACCGGAGCGTTTAATCACCACTTCAAGACACTCATTTTCTTCTGGCATGGTGATCAGCAATGTTCTATGTGGGAGGGGCTTTGTCAAACTGTAAGTGATGACAGTAGGGGCAGCCCCACAGTTAATAAAAATGGTGCCCAGCCATGGACATGAAGTAACAATATACTTTTTCTCCTTAAAGCTATTGGAATTGGATCTGTTACCGCAGCGTATCCTAGCTCATCCTGATTTATACACTGAAGATGATGGATGGAAGGATGGAAGGAAATTACTGAGCCACTCTTGGAACTATGCCCGGGGCTCTCACAACTCTGGTCTTCCAGTAATGGGAAATAATTCAATTCCCTTTTATTGAAGCCTCTTTGAATCCAGAGTTTCTCAAACATGCAGCCCAAAGCATCCTAATGGATATATCATGTCTTTTCTGTCTCTGTTTTGACTTTTTCTAGAGTTTCTATGCAACTTTGTGCTAATCCTACTATTTCTGTGGAATTTGGTGTCCTCCTCTAAAGTGGGGAGCTAAGTGGAGGGAGGGTTTCTAACAAGCTACCTCCATTGTATCTTCCCACTTTGAGTGCTTAACATGGTCCCCAAGTATAAGCATGGCCTTGTGGCCCTGCATGATCTAGTCCCCTTCTATTCTTCCAAGTTCCTGTTCTACCCTTCTCTCCCTCCAAACGCAATGGTGTCTTTGCTCCTCCTCAAAGCCTTTGCCTTGCTCACTGCCTGGAACCCCACTGAGCCCCAGTGGATGCAGGTTTTTTTCTCCAACCTCCCTACATGTCTACTCA